TGTGCTCCTTGCTCACACACCTGTTATAACATGTCATTCGTTTCACTACTAACAAAGTTCACATAGCATAGCGAATATACAGTGTAAAATGTTTTGACAGATACGGTAGTGAGATATATATGTGTGTATGCATAGAAAAAGGATTGTGATCAATGAAGAAATATGTACAAACGAAGCGAGAAGCTGTTGATACATATAGATTGATTTATGAGAAGTGAAGTAATGTTGCTATTGACCATAGAACGATAGAGATAAATAGAAGGAGAATTAGGTCATTCATACATCAACACGCTACGTTTTATTGGTACGAAAAACAAAGAGAAGATATGCAAATTGTTAATTTATCATCAACAATAGGAATGTATTTCGTACATAGCACATTACATTTTTAGTCTACTTTTATGCCGTAGTTAACAGACTCGACAAGAGTCCATGGTCGGCTGCATCCGGCGATCATCTAATTGATTCTATTTTTCAGAAAACATGCTCCAGGAAGCTTTTGCGCACTCACCTGGACATTTTCAAATATTGAGTTACTTAAGCACCTCTCAACGTGCCGAATGAAGTCTCTAGAATCATCATGTATCTGGATACTTCTCTAAAGTATATCAAATGACGCAGATCGTAAAAGTACTCCGTTGTCTGTTTCTGTTTCTGTTTCAATAGACAATTTGCACTGAAAGTCAACTAAAAACAAACAAGGTAACTTCTTCATCACAGAGTTTGAAAATAGAATAAATGAAATCTATGTCAAATTAAGTAATGATTTCATTAATGGATTGATATAGTTGACATCGATCTTAGTTTTGACTTGCTGTTGAAAATCTCGCATTAGTTTTTGAAGTTTCAGTAAAACTTCGACAACACGCATCATTTTCACGGCGGTTTGTTCGAATGATGATTGTTGAAGGAGATATCGAAAGAGTAAATCTACATATTTCGAATGAGCTTGAAATACACGTTGATAGTCATATAACATCGACTCTCTATCATCGCTTGCTGATAAACCTTTGAGAAAGACCATTGTTAACATTAATAATTGAACAATTATTGGATCTTTGTTGACTAAATCTTCAATAATATGAAGAATATTGGCCAGAGATCGAAATAGTTCATAGCCATAGCACAGAATAAATAAACTTTTACATTCTTCAGCAAATGCTTCACTCGCTGTCGAATGTGAATCATCTTCGGGATCGAGGTGCCACAGTTCGCGTGTTTTATCGAATGTTAACGAAAATCGCATCAATCCGGCCATAGATGAGTTATATTTCACTAGTGTGACACGATCGTTTTCATTCAAGCTTGCAAAATCTTCGATTTGCCGAACAAAGTTAATCATTCGAATGGCATTAACATTTTGTATATCCAATGTGTTCATATATGTTAACATTTTATCCGAAGCTAATTCCAGTGAAAACATTGTTGATGCTGGTGGCGTCGATCGCGATGAAGAGAGATATGCATCTTGAATAGAATTCAAGCAAGACCAATCGTCTTTTGTTAAGTTATAGGAAATTTCATCGTTGTTTTTTATTTCAACTTCCAAAGGTTCGCCTTTGATTTCTCTCGGATATAGACGACGATTTTCTTCTAAAAGCTTTAGTCTGTTCAATTTGTCTTCACGTGTTGAGATTAAATCTTTCCGCATGCCTTAACAAGCACAGTTTCAGTTTCAATAGATGGAAAATATGCAAACAACACTTTACCAGATTCCAAACACTTCAATAAACGACAGCGTTGACATTTCTGTATATCATCATGACGAATATTACATCGAAGACCATATTTATTTTGACATCTGGTTTTTTCCTAAATATTTCGAGATGAAAAATAATTATCTGCGTTGAAAACTAATACTTACAAGTGGGTGAAAAGCAGTTCGACGAAAGAACGCTAAAATCAGATAATTCATTTAATCTAATGATTCTTATTGAATAAATAACTAACCTTTGCATGATTCACAGGTAATTTGACCAAAGTTATAACCAAAAGCAGAACCTCCACAAACCACACATGTTAAATCTGCTTTACGTCGTTTCATAATTGCAGTTTGTTGCTGTTGATTATACACCTCATCGTTGCTCTAGATTAATAATATAAATCTCACTATAGAAAACGAATTCATTCAATTCTTACTAATCGTTTCGTGTTGTTTCTTGCCGATGAATGAATTAAATCCATGAGAAGCTTTTCATCATCATCTTCACTGCCGGATTTGACTATCAGAACTGTGGTTGAACCTTTTTTAAATCTATCATTAGAAGCTAATTTAAATATATCCATTTTTGTTTATGGACTCGTTTCATATGCGATCAGTTGACGAAATAGTGACTAATATTGCGTTGTTGTTTTGTTTTATAATCACAACGATATGAAAGCCTTTCATCCGTGAACAAGATACTTTTCGTTCGGTTTTCACACATGGATATTAGTGACTAACGCTATGATTACCATCATGTACCTCGAACGGAAAAGTATTAGGCACGGCGCACAACCCGTTAAAGCAGAAAATATCTCATTTCGTTCAGGTAGTGCGATGATGAGTCAGAGAACGAACAGTTCGCATTTTATTTTTTTTTCCTGGAAGATCCATAGTTTTAAAGCGTACGGAAAGAGAAATCTTCCGATAAAACTGTTATGAGTATGTGAAAGACATTAGGAACGAATGATGCTTTTATTGATATTTACCTGATATAAATAAATCAGCGAAAGTTTAATGGAACACGATTTATCTGTTTACGATCGATTAAACTTTCCTTCATATGTGCATTACGTCATACCAAGAATGAAAAAAGATCCGGTTTTATCTACTATTAAGAATAATATTCTGTTTTATCGATGTTTGTTTTACGAATATTCATATCGATCGTTTTTTGCTGGAATAGTTTGTGTTCTGGGTGAAAGAATGAACTTTTAATTATTTTCAGTGCTGGATGTTCTATAGAAGCTTATTGTTCTAATATATTTCTATTATGTGGAAGAATGTCTAGGCATACCAAATTGTCAAGATAGTAATAACACTTTCCGTAAATATTCCAGTCATCTTAAGTACAGAAATTCTAGAATCTCGAGGGATTTTCTCAAGTCGAACCTCGTCTCTGTTTTGTTTGGATGTTTCACGATAAATTTGACGAGTGGAATACTTTTGAGGACAAATCCAAATGTCGTATCATCACGATATAACAAAGCAAATTCTCATTAATGATGAAGTTAATCGGCATTTTGTCATATTTATGCCAATGAATAACTGACAAAAATGATGTTTTCGATATTCTTTCGATTAAATAATTACTACGTATGAAGTCGGATCACAGTGTCATACTTAGTAAAGAAGACAAACGATCATCATTGGTATTCCACGTATCTTTTTCCTTTGTTGTAAATGTCTGAGAATTATCATTGTTAATCAACAGCGATTATCTACTGTACTGATTTTATTATATTTTAAAGCGTAATGTATCCCAACTGATTGTCTAACTTTCGGTTTCTTTTTTTTTGCAATCAAATTGTATCACACAGTGAATTCAACCAGCGACCTCTATACTTCAAATTTTCATCTGTGATAAATAAATTCTAGTAAACTTTGTAAATCATTTCGTCTCTTGTTTGAAAATATTTCTTAGTGATAAAAAATGAACTTTGTCTTTTCTCTATTTCTTGTGGAGGTTGTCATCTATTGGTTATGGCAATATCATTCAGCCGAAAAAAAAAATCAGGCATCGACACAGACAACAACGATCATCTGAGGCAAAGAACATTGCCATGAGTGTTTATTTTTTGTAAGATTGATATTTTTTTAGATTCTCTTATGAACACTATTTCAATGGTCAATTGTACTTCATGTTATTACCAAATAGAAATCCGATCTTAGTCATATTCGGCAGTCAAGAATCTACATGTAGTATAAGCAAACTGTTCAAGAGAATGATCTAATCTATTTGAAAAGATAAACGAAAAGATTTCCTTTGTATTTATTTCTTATTATTAATTAACTCGAAGAAAAAAAAAGTTCATTATGGCTGATCTTGAAGCTGTATTAGCCGATGTTTCCTATTTAATGGCGATGGAAAAGTCGAAATCGACACCAGCAGCATCTGCAAGTAAAAAAATTGTACTACCCGACCGAACGTAAGTCTTCTGTCAAACATTTGAATAGTCAACAAACAGTTGTTCTTCTCAATAGAGTACGAAGTGTGACACATAAACATCTACAGAAAATGTATGAAAATACATTCGACAAAATCTTCAATCAACAAATTGGTATGTTTTTCACTTTTTCTTGTTATTTTGTTCGACTTTCGATTAGAGACATGCCCATCAATTATTGATTTTTTTTTGTTGAATGACATTGTCGTCTAATAACATAACCAAACAGTCGCATTTGTTTTACAGTTGTTTATTATTGTCGTGTCTTCGTCTTTGATTACAGTCAATGTGTTAATATCTTTTTTTCTCTTTTTTTCCTCGCTATTGATAATGTCGAGCCATTTCTATCGGCTAACATTCTTGTTTCTCATTCGGCTGTGTCATTCTGCTAGTACCTGGGAAGATCAGTTAGAATAAATCTTTTCTTTGTTCGTGTTATACTGCTGATTGAATGAAATGATAGATGAAAAGAAGAAAAAAAAAGATATACCAAAAATGCTCGATATGAATCGTCAATAGGAGGATTAGAGCGGTTACTGAAAATGTAATTTAATTGTCGGATCCATAAACAAGGAAATGAAGACAAAGGCAAACGCGATAATTACATCAGATCGCTAGATTATTTCTTTTTTTTACTTTGTTCTGTTAATGAATCTATTCTACAGCAGACCTTCATCTTGTTTTGCTTTTTTTCTCTTCCTGCACTCTGTTTTTTCCTCTTTCCTCTCGTTTTGTCAAACCGAAAGCAGAAGAGTGTCATCTATTCTTATGGCCTCCGGTCTTCTTTTTTTTCAGGTGCTGATATAGTGCAATTCAGAAAAAAAAATGTTCTCTTCCCTCTCATCTTGTCTTGTCTTACACGCGTGCGTGTTAAATCCCTACGGGGATTGCTATGTAACTAGTCAACTACTCGCATGAGAACTATTTCGCGAAGTTCAATTGAAAACTCAGCTTAACAAAAAAAGCAAATCTATATGAAAAATCTTTTCATCTTTTAGGATTTCTTCTTTTCAAAGAATTTGCTGCAAGTCTTTGTGATGAACCTGTGCCTCAATTAAAATTCTATGAAGAGGTTTTTATTTGCCAACTTAGATCATACATCTTCACCTCTTCTATTCTTTGATCAATATTTAGATAAAACGATTTGAAAAGCTTGAAACCGATGAAGAACGATGGCGTGTAGGGAAAGAAATTTATGATCAATTTATAATGAAAGAACTACTATCGAATTCACATGTAAAAACACGATATAACTCTCGAAAACATTTCATTGAATTCATATGTTTTCTTCTTCTCCAGACATATTCCGAACGAGCAGTCGAAAGTGTTAAGAAATACTTATCGAAATACAATCCAAATAATCCAAAAAATAGTCTACCATCGAATTTATTTGAACCATACAAAAAAGAAATATGTGACTCATTACGTGGACGAATTTTTGAAAGATTTATGGAATCGGAAAAATACACCAGATTTTGTCAATGGAAAAATTTCGAATTGAACATTCAAGTAAATTTTTATCTTGACGAAAAACTCTTCTGTTTTAATCAATGTTTTTATTATAGTTAACAATGAATGACTTCAGCGTTCATCGAATCATTGGTCGAGGTGGTTTCGGTGAAGTCTATGGTTGTAGAAAAGCAGATACCGGAAAAATGTAAATTGAAGTCTTTAATTTCAATGATGATTTTTGATTAAACATACTTTTTCTTTCAAGGTATGCAATGAAATGCCTTGATAAGAAACGTATTAAAATGAAGCAAGGTGAAACATTAGCATTGAATGAACGTATTATGCTTTCCCTTGTCAGCACAGGAGTACGTGGTTTTTTTTGTTCTTTATCTGTAATAGATTCGATTTTTTTATGGTTTCTTTCGTTGTTAAGGAGGAAGGTTGTCCATTTATTGTCTGTATGACGTATGCATTTCATACAACAGATAAACTTTGTTTTATACTTGACCTAATGAACGGTAAGACTAGAATTATGTCCTCCGAGAGCGTTTTTGTTTCGTTTAACGAGCGTTTTCGTGTGTATAGGCGGTGATCTTCATTATCATTTATCTCAACATGGAGTTTTTTCAGAGAAAGAAGTGAAATTTTATGCCGCAGAAATCATCCTAGGTTTGGAACATATGCATCTTAGATCAATTGTATACCGAGATTTAAAAGTAAGAAATCTTACGATCAAGTTGAATAGTATTTATTTATATATATATTGATGTTGATTTTCTAGCCGGCGAATATCCTATTGGATGAACATGGTCATGTTCGCATATCGGATTTAGGTTTAGCTTGTGATTTTTCCAAGAAAAAACCTCATGCTAGTGTTGGAACACATGGCTACATGGCTCCGGAAGTCTTAGCGAAAGGTGTTGCCTACGATTCCAGTGCAGACTGGTTCTCATTTGGTTGTATGCTATATAAACTACTGAAAGGACATAGTCCCTTTCGACAACATAAAACAAAAGATAAACATGAAATTGATAAAATGACCATGACAATGGTATAAGTCATTACTCGCCAAATCATGCTTATATGACTTTACTTCTATTTTTAGAATATTGAATTACCTGACAGTATGACTAATGAAATGCGAACGTTATTAGAAGGATTACTACATCGTGATGTTGATAAACGTTTGGGTTGCATGGGCAGATTGTAAATAATGATAGAAAATTTTTCATCATTATAACTCGTCTTTTCCTTTCTCTAGAGCGGAAGAAGTCAAAGACCATCCGTATTTTAAAGATGTTGATTGGAAACAAGTGTATCTACTAAAACTAACACCACCTTTAATTCCTCCACGCGGTGAAGTCAACGCAGCTGATGCATTTGATATTGGAAATTTTGACGAAGATGATACAAAAGGAATCAAAGTAAGAAGGAATAAAAGGACAAGAGAGCGAATTGTTATGAATTGAACTTGATTTCATTAGTTGACAGAATCTGATCAAGAATTGTATAAAAATTTCCCTATTGTCATTTCGGAACGATGGCAACAGGAAATCGCCGGTAAATACTTATTGTATTCCTGTTCTTTGTGTATTCATAATGATTGTTGTTGTTCTAGAAACTGTTTTTGATACAGTCAATCAAGAAACAGATAAAATTGAACAAAAACGACGAGCAAAATTTAAACAAAACAATATCTACGATGACGAGAAAACCTCTGACCTAATTCTTCAAGGACAACTAAAGAAAAACACAGGAACATTCGGATTCTCATGGCAAATACGCTACACAAAATTGTATCCAAACAGATTGGAGTTACATTATGAAAAGGGTGATAAAGATCCCGAGGTAATTCTTAACCTCTTAGCATAAGTAATTCCTAACAGAACGAGAAGTCATCTGTACTTTCAAAGAAAACAAACAACAATAACATTTATTGCTTTCTTTAACCATTCGAATGTAATAGAGAACATGAATGCAACAACCCGTTAACATGTTGATCAAATCCTTCGGATATAATTTGATTGTTAACGTTGAGAAGCACGTTGAGAGGATGAAATGACTAGCACGTTTCACAAACGGAAATTGGTGTCTACTAACATAGTTCTTTGAAGTTGATGTTAAAGAAACAAATGTACATCGATCATTTTCAGCATCATATCATTATACGAACAGAAAGAAAGAAAAGAAAAAAAATGAGATTCCTCTTTTTCGCCTATCGTAAAGATCAATATTTTTCTTTTTGCGGATGAATGAAAACAATTAGGTAATCGTGTCAAAAAAAGGTTATGTTATTTACACACATTTCAAGTTCTTATATATGAAGACAAAATTTGAATTTCTTTTCTCCTTCTATTCTAATTAAAATAGGTTTACACTATGGAAAGAATTGAACATATTGATTCAAAAGAATGTAAAGGACAAAAAACGATAACAATACATTTGAAAGGTGGAAATGAACCTCGATTGATGCTTTCACCACAGGTAAGATTTGTTCTCTTCGTTCTATATCTGTTCATATTATTGTGATCACAAAAGAAAACCATCCGATATGTTGTCTTTGTGTTCAATTTCTGCATCCTATTCGTGTGCTTTTAACTGATGTGTCTTCTGTTGAATGTTAGTTTTCGTGTATTTCGTGTTTTTTTCTTCTTCTTCTTTACCTTGATTTGTTTCGACCTACCAATAGGATGAAGTCTCATGGATTGAATGGAAGAAAGCGCTGTATGATACATTGGTTGCTTCTCAACAACATTTGACTGTCAGTGAAAAGGCGTCGAAGATTTATGGCGCTGATGTGAGTAGTTCAACATCTACAAATGCGAATTCCAATCAACAAGCATCTACTGGTAATCATCACAATGTTTCGGCATCTGGCGGAACAAATAGTGCTTTAAAGAAGAATAATGTTGCTGCAGCTGCACTCCAAGATTAGCAAAACTTCTATTTAAAATGAATAAATTTATTATAAACTTTGATTTTCTTTTCTCTCTTGTCAAACAGTGATTTTGTTGTATTCTTTTTTTTTCTTGATTTCAACTTTTTTTTGTTTCTAATCGTTTTGATCGCTGAACAATCGTTTTCTTCTTCTATGTGTTGCCGCTTTTGTTGTCATTGAGATTTCTCTTTTCTCTCGTTCATTGAATCTTTTCTTCTTACTAAATTTGTCAAAATATCCACACATTTCTAGGATATCGTCTCATTTCATGAATGGCGTATGGCGTTAAATGATGCTTTGAATAAATCAACATTAACACTTCATTCATCGAAAAAAATCGGACGATTGTTAGTTCCCAATGGCAGCGGATCCAGTTCTCATTCACCACAACCAACTACGACATCAATTCATGCTCAACAACAGTAATCAAAATCTTCTGAACAAACTTCTTTCATATATCTCTTCTTGTCACTTTCTCTCTTATCTTCTAGTCATCCTTGCCTTTATGATTTCATTCTCTCTGTCTCTCTCTCTCTCTTTATCTCACTTTCTCGAAAAACCAAACAAATTAATTATATCGGTGGTTTGATCGGACAACAAAGCTATATTCATTTTTTCGCGAATTTCTTTGACCCTCGGTTTTTTTAAATGTATATATTGATATATATTCGAAAAGAGAAAAACAGTGAAACGCCATTTTTGTCTATGTTTATCGTACACATACACAAAACCTTTCTTTGTCGTATTTCTTGTTGATGTTGTTTGTTATTATTATTTTTTTCCTCTTCATTTTTTCTTTTCTATTTGGCCAGAAAATAATACTAATGAACAAATAAATTCGAACGGACTTTATGATTTCATTTTTATTTAGCGGTGATTTTCTTTCTCTTCTAGATGAATTCTTTTTTTCTATCTGAATCACATGATTCATTCCGTTTTTTAGTTGCAAACTTTGAAAATCTTTCGTTCGATAGGATCCTGTTGGTAACAAAGTAAGAATCAACTTTTATGATGTAGGAACAACTGTTGGTTTGTCACATGTGTACGACGAGAGAAAAGTTGTAATTAAATATTTAAAGACAGCATTTTGTGTGATCGATAGAATAACCAATAAAAATGAAAGAGAATGATATTTAAGAGACTATTGACGTAATCTTACAAGGACAATAGACGAGACTATGTAGATTTTCGATTTCATGCTGTTTTCTGTTTGTTTTGATTTCTATTGAATCAAATAATGGTTTACTTTTTTCGTGTACTTTGCAGATTCCAGTTTCTTTTTTATTTGTTGTTTCCTTAAGTTGTTAGCCTTGTTTTTCCGTCCATCATGGCTAATTAATTGTGATTCATCGTTATACAATGCTTGTGAATAGTTTTTTCGGTGAGTGTAGACAAGGAAATAAGGAAGATATAAAACTCATATAATTCTTTTAGTTTGTTTCTTTACTATACCATGGTTTGTACTTGGTCAGTTACCATATCAACACTCCGGTCAATATGGTCCGCCCGTTAATAATGATATGTATCAACAACAGATACAGCAATCTCAACTTGCAATGCAACAACAACAACAACAGCAGCAGCCGTCGAATCAACAGCAGCAACAGCAGTCGAATCAACAACAGCAACATCAACAACAACAACAACCACAGTTATCGATGCATCAGCAGCAGCCACAGCTACCAATACAACAACCCTATCAAATGTCCCAGCAAGAACAACAGCAACAACTCTATCAGATGTCTCAACAAGATCATCAACAACAACTTCCAATGCATCAACAACAGCCATACTACCAAGGAACTATGCAAGGCTCTTCGAATCAATTCCTTCAAGGTATGCAACTGCCTCCACTTGCTAATCAATTTCAACAGCCGACCCAAGATCATCCAGCAGCCCAAGGACTTTCGCCTCCTATGGGACCAAGTGAACGTTATTTAGTTGGAAATTTATCCGAATCATTCTCATTTCAAGTTGCACCACCTTCAGTTAAAGTTGCTCATTTAAGTTTAAATGGTTATTCGCTATTCATCATCGGCGTGGGCTTTTCAAATCGATCGAAATTCAACTACGACGAAGAAACTAATCGCTTGACTGTTCTCACACTTGATCACACAACTGTAGGTTATTATACCGCGGTTGACAGGAACTGGCAAACATTTGTAAATATTCTTAGTGCTATAAATGGTAATTCTGTTTTTAAAAGCTATTGACTGGCAATATTCTTGTCTTTCATCTTAGTTTCATCTCTGGTGATCCGAAATTCACATGTTAGTGAAGATAATAATGGCTCAGCACTTATCTCTTGTTCAGTATCAATTATTCGTTCAAGGTTTAAATTAACTGAACCTCCAGCATCGTCAAATAATCTTGTCAATGCGCTTCCGTCATCTTTACCATTACAACCAAAACCATCGTCAAATCTAGCAGGAACAGAAAATTTACCACGACTAGATTTATTTCTATCGACACGTACACCGCTAACATCATCATTTCCCGATACAAAAATATACAATGATTCATTGAACGAGCAAGATCTTACGCGAACGATCATTCTTCGACGTCCATTAACACGTGCTGATCACAATGGAACAGTTCAATGTCAAGTAGAATCAAACAACAATGTTGATGTTTACCTTATTAAAACAGTTCCAATCGATATCGATTGTACGTTTCTTCTTAATAGCAATTTTTCTTTTATTCACTTCAATTTTCTTTTTCCTTCATTACAGATGGACCAAATTTAGAAGCCGGTGCTTTACCAATTGTCACATTAGATAGTGAAGCATTAAAAATGATTGCTATAGAATGTCAGATAGAAGCCAATCCAGCTCCGTCCTATGTTTGGTACGAAATGCCAACGAATGTGTCGACAGGCATGATGCCATACTATGGTAATCAAATGCCTTATGGCCAAAATCAGTATCCACTGCAACCACAAGGACATATTCCACCAGCAGGTTCCAATGTATTTGGCACAACAAGACAAATACAACGAATTTTTCAAAATCCAGGTCCGCATGCAATGCAATGTCAAGCACAATCTGGAGGAAAGACTATTAAACAACAGTTCAATATTATGGTTCATCGTAAGTTGTCTGACTTGGTTTAATTGATGTCAATCGATAGAATCGTGAAAAGAGTCATCTATTTCTCTTTAATCTAACGTGTTTCAACACATTGTATCGATTAACTTTGTGTTTAGATCAGTAATGTACTTTTATGAGTAAGAATATTCATCCGAAGGTTTTCCTAAAGAACCATATGCTATTCGTTATGCGCGATCGTATCATTTTTATGGTCTTACTTTGACAAATGATATTTCATTTACTATTATGATGTCTTTTTTTGAAAAAAAAACAACATTTCGTTTTCCATTTAGCTTCATCCAATGAAATGAAGGCAGGTTCAAATGGAGATGGAACTCAAGGAAGTCAGTATATTTTCTTGTTATGGTTACTAATTAGATAAAATGTGATTTACTTTTTAGAATCTTACAAAGTACCAATGATTATTGGATTGAGTATTGGCGGTATTTTACTCCTTCTTCTTATTGCAATCGTGATTGCTGCTGTTATCTTCTTGAAACGTCGCAAAGCAGGCGATATTGAACAACGTGGGTCGAGTGGTATGTCTCTTTGATTGTCTTTTTTCCTACTAAATTTTCTTTTATTTTAGCTGAAAAAATATCCGATAAGTAAGTTCATTCTTGTTTTCTATAAAAGCAGCTCCTATAAATGATTATATATCATTTTTTTCTTTCAGTAAACTTGGAGGAAATGCTTGGAATCAACGTGCTCTTCCACCAAATGATCAAGCAAAAAAATACAAACATGACGTGTTAAAAGGCGATTCGTCTTCCACATCACATCTCGTCGAATCTGCTGAAAACGATAGTAATCATCCTCCACCAATACCAAGTCGTCCATCACCAATGTTAAGTACACATTCATCCTATCGTCAGCAAACCGTGCCAATCACTCTCTCCTATCAACAAGCATCAACTCTTAATGGTAATCGTCCACCACCACCATTACGTTCTTATTCGCCCGAACAAGACGACGGAGAGGAAATTGAAATTAGTGTTCATGCTATGCCTCTAGCAACAAACCGTTCTCGAACAACAACACCATTTGGTTCACGCAAATCGCTCACCGAATCAATACAATCATTACGATCAAATCAACAGTCTGCTCTCTCATTACCTGTTAAAAAACGTCCTCAAGACCCTCCACCTTTACCTGCGCCAATGGTGCCAAAACGTGATCAACGAACACCTTCGCCAAAATCCTTCGAAGGAAAGAAGGATTATCAATATCATCATTATCATAATCCAACACAATTACGAACGCAACAAAAACGAACACCACCGACAACAACAATTCCACCTAAAGATGGTTCATCTGACGAGGAAATGGAACAATTAAATTCTGCTACAGAAGATGCAGCTGTAAGTATTGGACATAGAACGAGTATCTCTTCGGTTATTTTTTCTATAAAGAAAAACCTCCCGGTTTCTTTCAACAACATTGAAAGATCGATTGATTCAAGAGAACTCTTTTCATACATATTGCATGTAACATCTATTTTTCTTTCAGCTTCTTCAGAAGAAATTTAAATTTCGTGTGGTAAGTTATACTTAATATCGATTGTCATGACCGGTGTCAAATGTTTTCGTTTTACTATTTTTGTTTGCCTGGCATCTCGTACATTTTGCTCTTGCTCGTATTTGACAAACAAAATATGTTCATTCCGCTTAAACTGTTTTTTTGCTACTCTAATGTGTTATTTTTTATTGCAATAATAGACTTCGATCGTTTGACTTTTGCTTTCTCTCTTCAATAGGCCGCGCCTCCGCCATCATCGAAACACAATCAAGCTGAACCACAACACGGACGACGTATGATTACACCGCCACCTCCTCAAAAAATTGTTGTTCATCAACTAAGTGGAATGCATCAGGATGAAGCACCACCGGCATATCATCAAATATCTAAACCATCAGCACCGGCGACTGCCTTTGCATATCAAGAGCCAACGGAAGTTTAACTATGTTCAAGCAGTATTCGTTTTCATTTCTCTCTCGCGAGTTTATCTTTATTTCTCTCAAATAATTATTGCACATTATCCATTTGACTTTTCCCATATTCTTTTATTCATTTGTTGTGCAATGGTTTTTCTTTGCGTTGAATGAATCTCTATTATTTTAGCGCTTACCATTCAATATATATATATAAGTGTGTGTGTGTGTGTGTGTATTCTTTACAATTGTTTATATATAGAACAAGCTAAAATACAGCATCAGATAAAATGACCAATTCTTAAGCATGTTTGTTTTGTCTTGTATGTACATTCCACTCTGTCGACTCAGTTCTCAGCACTGGTTTTTATTACTTTTGCTATTGATTCTTATATTACGTAATGATTTCTTTTTGTTTTTTTGAAAGTGAATTTCAATAAATTACGACACATATTTACTTCCGAGAAAATCGTGTGTTTAACCTCTCCGACTGCAATTGACCTATCGATTGTATCGATGAAATTAAATGCATAGTGATATCATCGGATGGATGATGAGAGTTGTTATTACTATTAGTCATTATCTTGTCGTCTAAGTAAATATATTGTTGATATTGAAAGAAGAAGAAGAAGAAGAAGACATTTTGTAGAATTATCATTTGACCGACCATGAGAATGTCTTATCTGTCTAAAACGAATAATTATTTTCACTGCTGTGAAGATAAAACAATATGATAAAATTCATTTACACGTAAAACAACGAAATAAAAAAGGTCCTTTTTGTGAATATTTATGTATAGAGTAACGAGCACCTACACATTGTTTATTGTTGTTCTACTGAGCATCGCTACAGTCAGTTGGGCTAGTTCATGTGATTATACTCGTATGTGTTCCGTATAAATAGCTTTTGATAGAATTCTGTCCTCTATTTCACATTTAGAAAGAACATGCTACGGCAACTTTGGAACTTGGTGTTGTTCAGGTAGAAAGAATCTTCAAAAAAAAACTCGAATATTCACTTAAATATCTTTCTGTAGCTGATGCAACATGTGGAGCTAGCGATGGTGTATGTTACGAATCATCAAATCTCCCACCAGCTGTGATTGCTATTATTATTATTGTTTCAATCTTCTGTTTTGTCGTATGCTTAAGTTGCTGTATACAATCTCGTCAACGGGAACAACGTTTACGTGCTGCTGCAGTTAATTCACAAACGCGATTATATCCAGCTTCGTATCAAAATAATACTATACGTGGCCCAATACGAGTAGTTCAAGTACGACATGCGTCTCACGTCAGAGCTGTTCCATCAGTAGCCACATTGCCAAGCCTATATGAAGCACCACCACCGTCATACGAAATAGCTGTTGCAACATCTCCATCGGTACATCAACTACCAGCATCTCCACCTATGACGGCAACAGTTGAACAATCTGATGTTTCTAATGTGTAACAGAAAATTGTTATTTTTATACAGATATTTAAGATACATATATAAAGAAATATATTTCTAGCTATTGTCATCATGACTGGAATGTGAGGAGAGCAATCTCGAGTATGTGAGTGTTTGAGTGCATATTTGACAACACAAAAAAAAACGATGACTTGTTCGTTGAGAAATGTTAAATTTGATGTTGACAGTGTTTGTTTCCTTGATAATGATTCACAAACGAGAATCGAACTTTTCTGCTTCATCGTATTGGTTATAAACGAACATGACAATCGAATACATTTGTTCCTTACCTTGATCATATTGCACTCGAACGATTTCATTGTATTCTATTTAAGGGTTCATTTCAATTTTGTCAACTTCAAGGTAGAAAATATTATTTATTTTACTCGATAAGTTCAAACGTTATCATATAACTTTTCTTTTCGAGTAACAACATTTCACGGTACATACAGTCCATTTCTATCAATAGATATAAATGTAACCAATATGAATGGGTTCGGTTCTCTTTTCTTTTCGTTCTTTATACCATTGCGAACCTTGAATACTCTTTTCTTTTTCTTTTCGTTTCGACGATATACATAAATACTTGTTGTTTTTTTTTACTTCACCGTCACATATACTTTGTACCCTCTGTGATCACGATGGATGATGAACATTTCTATGAGATGAAATCTGGTCATGGTCTTTCACATGATCCATTTAAAGCTATCGTAGCACCACGTCCTATTGGCTGGATATCAACACGATCACCTGAGGGTCGTGCAAATCTTGCTCCATACTCATTCTTTAATGCATTAGGAGAAAGTCCACATATTGTCGGCTTCTCATCGTATGGTTACAAAGATACGGTGACAAATGTGGAGAAAACCAAAGAATTCGTGTTTAATTTAGCAACACGGGAGTTAGCAGAAAAAGTGAATATCACATCGTATGCAGCACCCTACGGAATCAACGAAATGCAACTTGCAGGGCTGGAAGCAGTACCTTCTCGCCTTGTTAATGTACCACGCGTACGAGATTCGTAAGTATCTCTTTTCGAATAGACAATTATATATCTTCACGGTTCTATTTGTATTTTTCAGACCAGCTGCATTCGAGTGTCGTCTTCTGTCTGTGACTCATCTACATGATATAGATGGAAATCCTACAAAAAGTTACTTAGTCTTAGGTCAAATCGTTGCTGTGCATATCAAACGAAAGTTTATTACACCAGAAGGACTTTTTGACACAGCTGCTGCGTGTCCTATTGCTCGATGTGGTTATCTAGGTGATTATACAGATGTCAATCATTTATTTTACATGCGTCGTCCAGCCGATGATAATGCTGAATTAGTGGAAGCTGTCAAGCAGCTCAATGAAAAAGATCAACAATAATCGAAGTTTATCTTTCATGTTATTTATTTAAACAACCTTCTAATCTAAAATAAATGGATCAAATCAACTCCTATGTTTCGTAATGTTAAACATTGATTGATTAAGGGAATGTGCAATGTATCTTGAGAGTACAAACCAGTGTTTGTTTTAAAAACAAACACGATGTAACGCTTCCTTTAATTTCGCTTAAAGAATCATAATCAGTGAATCTCAAATATGTTGAATTGGCAAAGTCAAGTCTGAAGTATCACTGTTTAGTGATGATTTTATGGACAAATTTGTTTTTAAAACAACAATCTTACTTTGAAGAGCTCATAACATTGTATTTGCTTTTTATATAGACTTATGAAACCAAACCATTTGCTCTTCAAGTATGTATATATGCATAGAAAAAGAAAAACAGTATGTATATTAAAGGCAAAGTAGCAGAATACTATTCTATCTGTAAGATACAATATAATTTCGTAAGAAATGTTAATCATTGGATTTCGGTCGACTGCGACGAGAATGTCCTTGATAATGTTGGTTATTCGATGGATCTTTGAGAATTGTTTGTAACAATTTCGTTTTTCTCAATGTTTCTAATGGCGTTTCAATTTTGTCTGATTGTGTTTTTCTTACCGAAAGTTTCAATAGTCGTTGTAAACGTTCCAATTCATCAAGAATCAATTCCATGCGAAGATTGAGAATCTCTAATTCTCGTGAATTGTTTCGAGATGTGCTTATAGTTGTATGTTCACGTGCGAGCGTGGCGAATTCTTGACGAAGACGTTTTATACGTGAATGACATTGTTTTTCGGACAATGCTGATCTATGTGGACGTTCAGATGGTGATGTTGTGACTGAACGACGGACAGCGCGAATCGGTGACGCTGATGAAGGACGTGTGCGGGATGATTTATTATAATGATCAAGATAAAGAATCGTATGTGGAGATAAATCACTTCTCCCATTCGTATGATGAAGATCTGAATATTCTTTCGATGAGAGACATAATTGATGATTATGATTCTTTAGTAAAGCAATAACCTAGAATGAAAATTGATGGATTTAACGAGAAAATGTTCGTTTTGTTTTTCTTTACATTTTGTACATTGGATTTGACATTGTGACTTGGTGATGTTGATGCACCAAGAATGAATGGTACTGAATTCATGTCCAAATGGAAATGTCGCGCGTCAGTATTTGTTGGTTCACAACTATGATGTTCCTGAGACGATCGTTTCTTTCGTCGAGTTCCTAATCGAGATTTTCGAGAACGTTCTTCGTTTGTGGTAAATGCATTTCTACATGGTAAATCTTGAGGTGAATGAAGCTCTTGTTTCAGTTTGTTTGCTCGTTTGTCTGAAATATTCTCGGGAAGTTTATGGTGCGTTCGAGATCGATGAATATCGTTCGTAATTTGACGAAGATTGGATTCGGCTCTCTAAAAAACAAACAAATAAGTAATTCGATGTTTTCAATAATTCAAACCTCTCGTAAATGTTTTACATTGTCTGACGAGTGTCGAAAAAGTTTCTGTTATTCTACAAACCTCTCGTTCATTTTCAAGCGTCTTGATTTTCAATGTCAAAGATTGTAATGCTGTCAACAATTGATCACGATTAGACTCAGGCAATGTGACTGTTCTTGATAAAGTAGTTGAAGATCGCAATGGTTGATAAATGGAATTAGTAAATGGTTTTTCCGGTGGATATTCATAAAATGATAGTTGAGAATTATGAGCATTAAGATTTGTCGCTGTTGTATTCGCAGATTCCCACATCGTGTCTTCTTTCTTCTTCTTGGATATATTAATGAAATAGGAAAAAAAAACGACAGACGAGTTTAGCCTTTTTTTTACCACATATACGATTCTTAACATAGAATGGAGACACAACACCGCAACCACCTTTCTTTCCTTTAACGCTCTCTTTTTTTCCCCGTGCGACACATGAGAGAAGTCAGTTGCCGAGACGACAATCAGCCATCGTTCTTTGTTCTTTTTCTGTTAACCATCACATCATTACAATTAGTTGTATAGTGATAGAAAAGGACGACAGGCAGCGTTGTTGAACAACTGCTGTATTTACAGTCGATGTGCTATTGTGTTCTTTCTTTTCTCTTCGTTTTTCAAGTAGTCACTGATAAATAAAATACTAGAGACCATGGACATGTCAAGATACTCCTTTAAAACTCGCCTTTTCGATTGAAGGTGAAATAATTTCAAATATTATGCATATTTCTTCTTCGAAATGAGGAGATGATAACATATGACTGAATAAATTAACTTGATCTGACTAGAATTACAATCATCAGGATGGAAATTTTGAATGGCAAACATTAGCGACATCTGGATCATTCATGAAATATGAGATAAATAATTAAAAGTAGTGAAAAATGTATGAAGACTGAACGTGAAATGTGTCGAAATTGGCAAGAAGAACTTGCAAAAAAATCTTCGTTGTCAATGACCTCTTCATGTTGATTGATTAGAATGGTGTTATTTTTCGCATTTCATCAATCATTCATCTAATCAAAATGTCGTCTCAATTAAAGCAAATCTGTAATACAATTTATCGCGAACAAGTTCAAAGTATTCGTGATTTAACATCAGGACATTTGAATGAAAATCATCTTTATCATGCACGTGAAACAATCGATGGAAAGCGAAAACCAACATGGTCATCTTCACAAAAACCTCATCCGACTTTACGACCGTCTCATCGTTTGAAAACGTATTCGAATACTGTCGAACAGATGAAAGATTGTCTAGTAGATTTCACATATGTCTCACTTCCAGAACTTCCAAAAAAACAAACATCGAGAGTAAGAAAAAAATGAATCTACGTATCCAAACTGAACATTCTCTTAATATTAGGCAGATGAACAACCATCATTATCGTCGTCATCATCATTAACCATTGAACAACTTCCACCGATCAATAATCAACGTATACATGTACCAACGTTTTCTATTGATCTATCTGAAGAACAACGAGTGCGAAAAATGAAAACATTCAATGATAAAGTGATACAAAGTAAAGATGTGAATCTGCACGGTCTGGGATACAGTGAAGATTTCGTTGTACAGGTTGAACAAACGCTCCTAAGAGTAACTATCTTTTTTTTATTTGCCAAACATTCTCCGACATAAAGCATTTCGTTATGTACAGAAACTGTCAGCCGTCGATGGTCAGAATAAACAACAAACATTGAGTTTGAGTCGTCTTCAAGCGTATGGTGATGCGTTAGGTCAACTTACTCAAGGTTCAGTCGCCTTTGGACCTGTTTTAGAACGTATCAAAGTATGTTTGATTCGATTTTCATCAATCGGCTTTCTAGTATCAAATTGATTTAGGACGAATACGAATTATATCTTGATCATTTACTGATTAATCAACCTGAACATGGTTCACATATTGCTGAACAATTGAAACGGTTACGACAAGCTCAACCACGGTTCTCAGCAACGAGTTCAGAGCTATTTGATATCAATAAAATCGAAGATCGAACTAGACAAGCCATTGAACGCAATCGGCAATTAAAAGAAGAACTTAAGCGAGCTAAACAAGAACGAATTCAATCAGAAATTGAAGCATCGAGTATATGACATATTAAATAAATTGTATGAAGCAATAAAACTTTTCTCTTCTAGATCGAATGAAAAATGTATCAGTAGGATTTCGAGTTAAAAGTCAAGCTGAACTGGTTGATGATTTACGACAAAAAATATTCGATTTACTCGATGAGATCACTAAGAAAAGACAAGAATTAAACGAAAGTTATGTTCACATCTCTGTGTGCTCATTACTACAACAAGCGATTCGAGATACACAAGTAAACATTTGTCTTTTAGTATTCATCAACAGATTAGCAATCTTTCGATTTAGATGGTAGTGTTGAATACAAGTAAAGACAATGAAAGATTGCTGGTTGAACTTGATAAACTGGAGCAAAAGATACGAGAAGAAGTTCTTACAAATGACCAAAGTGAATTTACCGAAGAGCATGTCGAGTAAGTTTCTATAAAATATTCGATGTCAACATGCAATGAAATTTTCCCATATTTTGTTTTCCTAGACAAATTATCGAATTGGTGAAGAAATTGGATGTGTTACATATGAAGAAAGGAATCTCCGGTGATGATGATGCTGATAATTCGAACTTTTTACATACTTATGACGACTATTTTTCATAATAAATATAAACGTATAAGTTGTACAGACTCATGTACTTCACCTTCAAGATTTCTTTGCTATACAGAATAACGAGAAAGTGCAAAACGCACTTTGTTTATTTTTTGTTCATCAATCATCTCGATTAAACATTATCTTTCAATTTTTCTTACTGACAGACAAGACAAATTTTACAGAGCTACTCATATCCATAGTCGACATATTTCGTTAAAGTAGAGAAAATTTCATCGATTAGAAGCACATGTTTTCTTTCCTCTTTCGTCTTGTACGCGTACATTCGCTTTTAGTAGTCGCATTCAGAGATAGAACGAGTCACCAACAAGCTTATCTATATGCATTGTCCGGCATGGATTATCTGCGTCGTTCTGTTTCTTTTTCTTTCTTCTGAATAAATGTGAAGATACGAATTCTTCTTCCAGATAAAACAAGAGAAGAAATCACGATTAGAAATCTCTTGTCCAGTTTGTATTTAAATGAACACTATGAATCAATCGAATGATTTGGCTTTAGCACATTCGTTTTCCCGACGACAGATGGTAATCATTCGAAAAAAGAAAACTAATATTCGTTCAATTTCTTTTTCTCTAAAGACAATGATGAATTCTCATTTGGATTCATCAACTATATGTGAATCTTCCAAGCAAACGCCTACTAATAGAATCAATCCACGTTGTGAACATTGTGGAAAGTATTATTGTCAAATTGATTTCATTTTTTCATGGATATCACGTTATGGTCATTCGAAAGATCAACAATATGCCATTGATCAGCGTATACAAGAGATTATTTCAAAGTAAAGTCTTTCGTTTGCTTTACTGAGAAGATTTAAGAAATCGTTTTTAGACGTTTACCATCGACAGATGCTCGAAATATGTGTGAACAACGCTTACTCGACTGGTACAATTCCAAGCAGAGAAAATCAGACGAACGAACAGTGACGTTCTCTCCATCGATAGAATCAAGCAATGTGAATAGATATTCAAATTTTTTATGAAAATATCATTTCTTCTCACTCTCTGTTTCCTAGTCTCCGTCTGTATTGTTCCGAGCAGATTCACCAGTCAGAAAACCTCACTATGACGTCACTGAATACGATCAATATCTTCTTTCACAAGCCGGTGCTTTTCTACCTGATGAACCACTTCTTTCAGAGGCTGTTTGCCAACGTCTAACAATATCAACTCCAACACAAACATTTCAAACACAAAATCGTGCTGGCCTATATCAACTGTGCTCTAACGGTCGATATATCATAGCGGATGATTGGTGTCAAACATACAAAGGTCATCGTTTAGCACAGTCGATGCGTTGTTTAACAATTTACAATCAATACGAGGAACAATGTGTATTAATGTTACATGAATTCAAAATTATGTCACAAGTCGATACTGTTCAAAGTATGACTTGGCATGAACAATTACAAGTCTTTCTTTTTATCACGTAAGAGATGAAGAATTAATTTCTATTTGATTGTTTCTTTTCGGTCATAGAAATCAACGTGTCTATCAATGTGAACCAGAAAGTGGTGCAATTAATCCAATCAGTGAATATGAAATACCATCGTCCAGACATAGTTTAGCTCATATTGCTTGTGATCAACGATCATACGTTTTCCTTGCCTATGAATATCCTGCACCAAGTCTCGATCTATGGTTTATATCAACTATGGCAACATGGTCGCTTATGAAACGATGGACACCGAGAGAATTATTTCCACCACCGAGATACAATGATGACGATGAAGAAGCAGAAGAAGATGATGATGATGATATAGATGAAAAGAAAGTATGAAATGATCATTTCTTTTATCGTTCGAAAAGTTTATTTTGAAATAGTGCGAACAAGAATCGGGCATATGTGGTATCGCTTCGATGCGTTATGCAAATGGAATTTTACATTTCCTCGCTCGTCATGAACGTCATTGGTCTCTTCATTTATTTACCGTAGTTATCAATGAAAAACAACAAAAACTCATACCTCAACGTCGTATTGATATCGATCTAACACATCTTCGCTTTGCTGGAGAAAATTTCCAAATGGAAGTTTTACCCGGCGAACAAGGTTGGTTATTTGCTATTCGACGTCCTTATCTTATTCATTTACATTATAACGGTAAAGACGGTAAGTGATTTGCACAATTACATAAACTTTGTCTATTATTCAGAGTTCATTGTAGTTCAAAAATTGTCATTACCTACGGCGAAACGTTGTGCGGATTCGATTTATAACGTTTGTATTATGGATGAACGTGGGAAACGACGTGAAAACGGAAAACACTTAGTCGTACGTGATGTAAACTCGATTCGATTCTACAAACTCTAGAACAAAATTAGACATTTCTTCTTTTCTATCTCTCTGTTTGTCTCTATGTATAAACAAAAACAATCTATTTTGTCTGTTTCAGTTCAGACTTTGTTTCTTTCTTTCTTGTGAATGTATCTTGTGTGTATGTAGAAAAGTGAATGCTGAAAAAGCCTATTGTTGTTTTTTTTTTATTCTAAGTACTTCGGTATATTTTTTTCTTTTGTTAGTAGTTATTTTTGGATGGGATTCCTTTGTTATTATTTGCATTCTATCATATGTGTTCAAAATAGAATTGAAGGAGAACAATATCGATTATTCGATCCAAATCCGGATTTATCGAGTTGTTCAAACAACTACATTAATAAGTTTAACGACAGAAGAGAAGAAAAAAAAAAGAAATGAGAATGACCATCACCCAAGAAAAAAGAAAATTAAAGTATTAAATATAACTCGATTAGGTTGACTTTTGTTTATAAAACTATCAACATACACAACGACCAAAGAGGCATCATCATGTTTGAATCATATTTTCGTTTGGTTTTTGTATATTATTTTGTTGTAATCAAAATCGAATCTTTTCGGCCATTTTCTGACCAAAGTCGCGATCGAGATGAGATAGAAGGACGAGCATTCGATGAACAACATTTCGATCCGTACACCGTCCTAAGCTTTCAGCAATATTATTCAGTAAATTAGCTCGATCTTGACTGTTCAACACTCTCTGCAAACGAATCAAAATTCTATTAAGAAACTATACAAATCGAAAAACAATTACTCGGTAGAAATCACGTGGTTGAGAAAAATCATCTTCACCTAACATCATGTATTGCCCAAAGACAGTAGCATCTAAGACACCAGGCTGCGTAACTGTTTGTCACAATGCAAAATTTGTGAACAGAACGATGAATTACTATGCTTACTTGTTTGCATGAAATGTTGATGCAGAGGATTTCCACGGAAGTTATGATTTGTTTGTGGGCTGTTGACAGGAACAGATAGAGTATTTGTACCAATTCGACGTTGTTGGGGATCGCTGTAGGCAGTTAGACGAAACTGAAATCATTCTTTTTTTTTGAAGTCTGGTGTGTTAGGTAGAAACGATACACACCTGTAAGACTTTGTCTGGTGATGGCTCAATACCGGGTGGCATATGAGTTGGACTAAAAGCTGCATGTTCGATTTGAGTAACATAATTAATTGGATTTTCATGTAATGTTAATCTGCCAACTTTACGAAGTGGAAAATCTTTTTGAGGGAACACTTTTGTCATATCAAATGGATCGAATTGAACACTTTTAGCTTGATCATCAGTCATTACCTTTGTTTTTAATCAAGAATAGAGAGGAATACAAATCTCATGTCTTACTTGAATGTAAAGTGTCCAACTTGGATAGTTCTTTGTTGCAATAGCATTGTATAAATCAGCTGCAGCATAATGAAGTTGTCCAAATGCTGCTGCTTTCGGTTTTGTTGGATCTAAGTTTTTGATGGTTTGATCGGACTATAATAGGAGACGAATATTTCTAGAAATTAGATCGATGGTTATCGTCAAGCAATATTCACTAGAAGATGGAATTTCACCCAAACATATTGACTTTTGTCGTTAAGCATTTTGAATGTATGTGAACCGTAGCCGTGCATGAATCGATAACCATCGGGTATACCACGATCTGAATGAGTTATGAGAATCTGAGCAAACAAACAAATGTTAGTGATGTTTACGAAATCAACTGATAAATTATACATGATGTAAACTTTGAGGATTGTTTCCGACAAAATTCCAAAACGTATTCGGATCTTTCATATGTGTTTGTGGATTTCGTCTCTGCGCTTGAGCCATTGCCGAAAACTTAAACATATTATACATAACACAACAGGTGAGAATTCTATGAACTTTATACCAGCGCTGGATTTCGAATTAAGAACACTGGTGAAGTGCTACAAAGAAGATCCCAAATACCTAGTGCAGAAGAATATTAGAATTGGATCTATGAAACATGAATACATGCCATCTTCGGTATACATTTTAACAGCGAAGCCACGAGCTTCGCGAATTGTATCGGGAAAAGCATTTCCTTCGCCTGAAAGTGTAAAATATTTCCTATTAATTCATCGGTTTTCTATCAACTTACAGCCAATCGAGAAACGAACTAGAACGCGAGTTTTAGTGCCTTTCTTAAACACTTTGGCTTTACAAATATCCGAAATATCGTGATTTGCTTCAAATGTACCAAAAGCACCACCACTAGACAAAGATGTCAATCGAAAAAGATTTTCCTTTCAATAGTAAATGCAGTCTAATCACCCTTTGCCATGTACGATCCGTTGTGGAACACGATCACGATTCAATCGTTCGGCTTCGTGAGCAAATGGAAAGTTGGGAAGAGTCTGTGACTCTCGAACTCCAACACTCTGTTCCCTTTTTCGTTCAACGCTCGAATGTCTCATAATCTTTATTGGTATATCAAAACTCTGTAGAAAAACAAAAAAAAGTAACAAACTCGAATCATGTTACTATATCATACTCACATGTGGTCTCTGATTAGGTGGCTCACTGGAAGTCGAACGAGGTTGTTTAGGTGGAGCCAGACTCATACTTAGAACCGTCAGACGAAAATACGATGTAGCACTAAAATTCAAAGCGAATACAAGCGCGTTTGACACTCGAATGATTGATATTAATTGATCTCAATGTACGTAGTAATCATAATTTGACAGTAACGTCGACCTCACTCTATTCCTCACCTACTGATTATCAAACGGTCCAAATATACTCGATAATAATCTATATACCTTATTGCGCTACTCAAATTTGTGAACACCACACCGAGAAAACAAAATGAAAGTAATTTTAGAAGTGACTTCAGTTGAGATATTGAGGTCGTTTAGATAACTACTCTAGGTTGAAGGAAAATGCATTTGATTAGACGCAGTCAACTATGACAAAAACATCATTTAATGTTTACCCACGCATACATTAAATATGCTCTTCTTCTGTCTTTTCCTGTACGACACGTTACAGATTGTGTAATCAAACGCAAATTGAAATAAATTTTTTTTTTCAAATTTTCTAGAAAAATTATCAGTTGTGATAAACTGGTCAATCAAAATGTTGTTTTTCTTTCACGATGATGATTTTAACGAAAGTTTACCTTCCTTTAAACACTATTTCATCAAAGACTGTCACTTTCGTCATTGCAAACGACTGATTAACTGTCAACCGAGTTGTGTTTTCATTTGAGATTTATTTACAAATAGTCTCGCAGCTGATTGATATTTATCGCGTACTGACGATGATCTCCAACTTATCGTTTGTGACATGCTGATATTCAGTCGAAAATATGTTTTGTAATAATCATAGAGAATGTTTAGATGGGCAAGATCATTTATTAAATCATGCAAATGATTCTTTAGTAATTCCGAAAAAGTATATAAATATTCAAACAGAATGAAGAGAAGTATTTTGATAGATGAAAGTTGTCATTGCCTTAATATAAATCTGGGAACCAAAGTATTTCTTCGTTTATCTTTGCAGAATAGTTTTATGCATAGATTTCTCTACAAATTCCAGTTTGATTAGAAGAAATTTCGTCATCTATATCTCTTTCTATCATCGAATGACACTCTTTTCCTTCATCGCATTATCAAAACCGGTACACGATACGTGGAATATGGTAGACTATCTATATATACTTTCGTTAATCATTATTCTCTTTGGTTGTAATAATGCAAACAAACTTGATTGTATGTATTCTGACATGTACGTAGCTCATTAGATAATTCGAACATGTTTAATCGAGGTAAATAGTTAATTGAATTGAAAAATGATCAATGATAGTCGATTGATTGTTCAGCGGTCGAGATTTTCTTTGTGGGACGATTCGCATTGCTTTTTTTGGACTGTGCAAACGGTATTGATTAATATTTTTGAGTAGGAAATTTGTTTTCTCGGTTCGTGTAACAATGAGATCTTTTGTAAAGAAGAGGAGAAAGGAAGAGAAGAAAAAAAGAATACTGCAAAACAAGAAGATATATCATAGTGCTCATTCGTGTTATTTTTTTCATCCTCACATTGTTGTCCGCCTGTCATCGGTAGTTGTGAAAATGATGATCTCTGCAGTTTGACAACGATCAGATATCGATTTAGTAAGTTGAAAGAAATATCTCTTTTATATTACTTAAAGAGAAATCTTCGCATCTGTTGACAAGTGGACGTGAGATGTTCTGCTTGAGAGAATCTTCAAGAAGACAGTGCGAATAGCTTCGACTTTGATGAGTATATCGCATGTTTCACTTTCTATAAATCTTCAGAAAATGGTATGACTAAGATAAAGTACGAAATGAAGTGTTCTTTTTCTTTCAGATGTAATTCTCTTCAAAAATGTACGTGCTGCGAATAATCTTATTCCTTAATCTGACCTATCTTCTTTCGTTTTTCGTGCTTTTCAATCCAATTCAATGTAAACCAAGTAGTGGTGGACACTTATCATCACAACGCGCACGTCCTAGCTATTCATCTGGTGGAAATCAACAACCAAATTCTCTATTGTGGAGTAATTCTTGGTTTACACCAGACTCTGGTGCCTGGTATGATAATGGTATGTAAACAGACGATCGTTATCGAAAATTCTTCTCTATATGAATATGAAAAGATGATATCACTTTTGATATTACTCATGAGAACGATTAACTAGGCATCTAGAGCAATAATTTCAACAATTTTCTTGTTCTCTAAACAAAAAACAGATTAGAAAAGTCTGTCCTGCTCTTTTTCTCTCTCGTCAGAACTTCATCATCTCTCTAATCATCGTCATCGTCGTCGTCGTCGTCGTCTTCCTCTTCTTGTTCTTATCCTTCCTTCTTTTGTTCTATCTCTTTAAGAGAAAAGATATCCAGATCTTATTACATAAATAGAGTCAGTGATACATCAATAAATGACAAACTAATAAAAAACCTATTTTTTGATTATCGCCATCATCATGTTCGTATTCGCGTTGATCCTATTTTTCCTACTAACAAGTATTGCGCAAATCTATTGTCAACTGATGTTTTCCAGTTTGACAATGCAAAATAAAGATAGCTCTTCGTCAGCATCATCTGCATCCAATCAACAAAATTCTCACTCGATGTTGAACTATTATCATCATCCGTATTATCATTTAGCATTCAATGAATCTGATCTAATACCGGATGAGCAACGTCTACTAGCACAATTGTTAAGAAACTATGATCCATCTGCACGACCTGTATATAATGCATCGGACACTGTTAGTGTGGCGTTTGGTATTGCACTAACTCAACTTAGTGATATGGTATGTGAACAGAAGTTTGATGATTGATGAAAGTTTTCGAAGATTATGTAAATATGTTTAGAATGAAAAAGAGGAAGCAGCGATGTGCAGTGAGATATAGATGAAAGGATATTTTTCTGTTTCTTTTTTCTTTTTGTTTGATTGACATAGTGAAGGTCAATCTTTGACATCGATAATTTAATAAGACTTTTGTTCGCTTCGAGCAATATTCATATCGAAATGAATTGAAGAAAGAAATCGTTCTTAATTAGTTTCTCGAGAATCTCGGTTGTGCTTTAAGAAACAATTACACGATACTCTTCATGTTAGACATGTCAAATTGGTTATCATGATATACAAGCATGAGACTTTCACAATCTCTTCTTCTTCTCACCTTATGAAAAACAGACTTTGTCATCAAATGTTTATGCACATTATTAAATATCCTTTGCATGTCTGTTTAATTTAATCATATGTCGAGAAGATTATTCTATTGCGATGCACTTTGGACTTGTTGATTTGTTTTTCTTTTTCAATAGGATGAAAGAAATCAAATTCTGACGACAAACATTTGGCTTGAACAGGTTCGTTGAATGTCAAGAAGGAAAATTATTCTCTTTCTTTTCCTTTGTTGGTAAATAAAAGGAATGGATGGATCAACGTTTGGTATGGAATGCCTCGGATTTTAATGGTTTAACAACGCTTCGCTTACCATGCTCAAAGATCTGGTTGCCAGATATTGTTTTATACAATTCAGCAGACGATTATACCCAAGGTTATTATCAAAGTAAAGCCATGGTTGACAATACTGGACATGTATTTTGGCCACCGCCTGCAAAGTTTCGTTCCTCGTGCAAAATTGATGTGACTTTCTTCCCATTTGATGGTAAATGAATCGAAAATTTTCATTTAAACTTTTGTTTTCTTTATGTAACTCAGATCAATTATGTAAATTAAAATTTGGTTCATGGACATACGATGCAGCTCAAGTCAATCTGACCAAACGACGTGATAATGTTGACATGACAAATTACATCCGTTCAGGTGAATGGGATATCATACGAATTCTTGTACAACGAAATGATGTTACTTATGCATGCTGTCCGGGAATATTCTATCCTGATGTGACTATTTATGGTAAGGAAATATTGCTCTTCTATCTTCTCGAACATTTCTATTCTCTATAGTGCATATACGTCGTCGAGTTTTGTACTATCTCTTCAATATCATCTTTCCTTGTATATGGCTTTCAATTCTTTCAGTTCTCGGATTTTGGCTGCCACCTGATTCAGGAGAAAAGATCACACTTGGTATAACTGTTCTTCTCGCTTTCTCCGTTTTCATGTTACTAATCGCCGAATCGATGCCTGCCACAAGCGAAATGGTTCCACTCATTGAAATCTATTTGACTGCGGTTATGGCATTTACATCGTTATCGATCGTATTAACAGTTTATGTCTTGCAATTACATCATTCTGGTCCTGTTGTTATACCAATTCCACATACGTTCAAAAACACTTTAGTACGATATGTAGCACCAGTTATCGGCATGCGCAAGACCATTGAAATTTATGCACGTGAACATAATTTATTGGAAACCGATGATGTTTATCGGTGTTTTTCTCAGCGACCATCGTTAACATCTGACATGTCAACACGAATTTCAGTAAATAAAGGAAGAAGTGAGAAACAGAAGGTCAAATATCGACAAAGTAATATATATGACTATCATAGAATGTTTTTATTACAAAAGAAATTCTCAGAGGATACATGATAACAATAGTTATTTCATTAAAATAATATTATGTGAACCTTGTATTTTTTTTCACTGTTATTTAGTCTTATTCTTGTTTAACATCTCTTATTGATAGAGTAGGAAATTCCTTTTTAAACTTCGTTTTTTTTTGTTTTCTTGTAGACGCAAAGCAAACAAAAGATTTGGAATACGATGATGAAAACTACAACGATGAAGAAGAGATGAAGAAAGAATTTCTACCGAATATTCCAACGACAAATGGGGATCTTCTTTCGATTTCCTCATTGAACAAACGTCATCGACACCCTCATAATCATCAACAGCATCGTTCTCGACGTGCTGCTCCTCCAATTGTACTTATTCCCCAACAATCCTCGTCGTCACCCATCCCTTCCAGCTCTCGTTCACAATATAATTTATTCAATTCAAATATGCATCTCTTGGAAAAACATCTCAAGTACTTACTTAATAAACAAAAACTCGACGAAGAACGAAGTGAAATCGTTAATGAATGGAAGTTAATGGCATTGATTATGGATCGATTATTGTTTTGGTTATTCACAATTTTTACAATCCTAAGTACAGCTTTATGTTTAACCATTATCCCAATACTGAAAAATGCCGGATATATATCAGCTTTGTCAAGAGAATTACTTGCAGATTTAAAATCGGTGGAAACGACAATGGGACGTGATATTGCAGAACAAATGAAGGTTAATTTGACAGGAGGTGTGTAAAACATCTCAATCTATTCTTATGACAAAGTTTACTATTGGAGTTTGTTTCTATTTTATTTTTTTCTCGCGAACAATTTTTTTATAAGTTAAATACAAAAACGATCAAAGATATGGAGCATCTTGACATTTCTGCCAAGTAGATATCAATATATCTGCAATAACAGATTTGGTTTCATGCGCGTATACATGATTTTGGTATTATCGGCGATATCTTCGCATAGTTTATCTCCAGGCATTTGTTTACAGAAGATATTTTTCAGATGAGAGTAATTCAGTAGGATATTCACTTTGTCCGACGATTTAGCCGATATTGCGACTTGAATCCGATAAGCTTTTCAATAATACACACTTAGACAACGACTAAATCATAATATTGATAAAAAAAGTGAAATAATCAATTGATGAAACTTCATTTTACGAAAATTTTAACAAATGCGTTTACATTATCACTATCGAGGATATCTACGAGAAAAACTTTCATTCAAAACCATTTATTGTTCATTCAATCGATCTATACACTCCCGAATTTGCTGAATAAGTTCATTAGCCGAAGTAAGAACTTGAACCTAAGTTTAAAAAATATGTAAACAAAGCAAAAAAATAGTAAAATTGTACTATACCTTAGGCTCATACTTAGCAGCCCATTTTTGGTGAAACGCTTTATTTCCACAATACACAAATATCGAACAAATGTTACTATGCTGATGAATTTCGGGGACCAAGTCCTTGCCCAGCGCACCACTAATGATCAAAATAATTCGCTTTACACCAACACCATCACGTCCAATAAATCGTTTACACTCAGACTCTTTAACAAATCCTACACAATTGCCAAATGCTTCTTCGAATGTTTTGAAAAGCTTCTGATTTTCTTCACTCTCGAAAATTGTTGTATCATACCAAACCAATTTAATTGAATTTGAATGCGTCATTTATATGAATTATGTATTCAATAACACCTGGTTGTTGTTAAAATGTTGTGTACAAGATAGTATAGATGAATAATCGTTGATTGTTTTTTGTTTTCAATACACAATGCAACGCGTGTACGCTTGTTCTTTTGATTAAGAAACAATCTCTTTCAATCATCCACTTTCATTGAGTTTTAATCGAGTAAAAGAAAAAGAACGTTGAGAATGTCCAATTAAATGAAATGACGACATTGGAAAATTCCTTTGCGCTTGATGGCGATACCATCGATTCCTTTTCAACGAAAGATGCGTGATTGCGCAACTTGAATTCCTTTAACTGAGAACATGTGTAGATGATTGTCACGTGCGGAACTTTTCAAATCACATACTAATCGTACAAAATCAGCAGTATGATTCAATTGACTCATAATAAAGAATACGAGAAGTGTCCATGATATTCTTTCGATGATTTATATGCTTAGAAAAACTTTTATTTATTGAAACTTTTTCATTCGTAACAATTGCATATAAGCCATGAGAAAAAAAGCCAAAATAATGCCAGATAATGCAACGATATTTTGCCAGAGATCCCACGTCGTTTCATGTGGAATTTGTCGGCGCGTCAAAATCTCTTCGCCTTTGGTTATGCAAATATCCGACTCAGATGAAAAACACAATGTCAAATTTCGAAATTCATTGATTGCTAAAGCATTTGATGCGTAACGAAACACACTTATCCATTGAATCCAACGAAGAAATGGAACAATACTTCCAAGAGCAATAAGAAATCCACTAAACAACATCATTGTTACATTACTGCTGACGACCATCACAAGTGCAACACCTAAATAGTAAGAAAAGAGTCAACATATGAGAACAAAACAAGCAAAAAAAAGACACTACCAAACGATGCAGTACTTGCAGCAACGAAGTAACACATAGATGCGCCAAAAATTTTTGCCATTAGATTTGTTAATATAAAAAACCAAAAGCGATCAGTTGATCGATGAAGGTCCGTTAGAGTATAAGTGATCAATGCATAAATTAAACAAGGTATCAAATGTACTAATGGAAGATCGATCATTAGTTTAGCAAGAAAAAAGCTCGAGACACGATAATAACCACTCACATGTTCCTAAAAACAGACAATCACCAATTATTAAGAAATGTTTGAAAACATTTTACATGAATAAAAAGTGCACGTTCTTTGATCAATGGTTCTAATGCACTCATTGCACTAAGTGCTTGACATGAAACAATGAAAAATATTGCACCGAAACGATTATACACTCCGGGATCGATTGTTCGCTCTAATTGTTTAAATATTAAACCCGTAAATAAGCCATAGATGATGACACTGATCACTTGAGAGATCACTAATCCTGGATGTCGTAACGCATTGCAGAATGTTCGCTCAGCAATATAATAAAGTTCGGTTCTATATTTAGGAAGTGTGTGATGTTTTAATAAACCATTATATCGATTGTCTTGCATCTCATTTCGAATTCTCTCGGCAATATTTGATTGGAGATAAGCTGCTTGAAGTTCATTTGCTGAATGTGTACTCGATTCGATAAGTATGTCAAGAACGAAGTCGGCAGGATTGTTATGCTCTTCACAAGTGAAACCAAGTGAAGCAAAATATGGCAGAACTTCAAGAGGTGAGCCTAAATAGATATTGTAACCACTAGATAAGAACAAAACAGTATCAAATAATTTAAATATTGAATAACGTGGTTGATGTATTGAGAAAATTATCGTTCCTAAAAAAACGAACAAAGTGAAGGATCAAAATCGAGAATTGATTAGAAAATTCTTACGTCCTTGTTTGGACAAACTATACAGATAAGTCATTATATTTTGTGCTGTTGAAGCATCGAGACCTGTTATAATTTCGTGAAAATATCTTCGACAAAGTCTATAAATAATTTACCTGTGGTTGGTTCGTCTAAGAAGAGAATATTCGGTGAGAGGACTAGTTCCATACCAATACTTGTTCTTTTCTTTTCTCCACCTGAAACACCTCGGACAAAATCAGTGCCAATCAAAGTATTAGCACACGATAGCAGATCTAAATCACGAATAACTTGATCGACACGTTCTATTCGTTCATACATATTGATCGAACGTGGTAGACGAATATTAGCCGAGAAAAGAAGATTTTCTCGAACAGTCAATGTTTCACTAATTGTATCTACAATAATCAAAATAACAAGACAAGATAAAAATAAGAACATGTACCATCTTGTGTAACATATCCAATAGCATATTTAAAATAGGATGGACGAGGTTGACCGGAGAGAAGAACTGTTCCTGATAGACCACGACGATCCTTTCGATCCGCAAGAATATCGAGTAATGTAGATTTACCACAACCAGTTGGTCCTATGAGTAAACACAAACCATATACAGAGAAAAATGAATATTATCAATTAACCTAGAATAGCATTCATTCCCGGTGTAAAAATTCCCGAAACATCTGTAAGTATCTGTTTGTGCAATGTTGATTTCCAAAATGACAATACATTTGCATTCCATGGAGGTAAGATTTTACTTTGAAGTTTTTCATTACCGACTGTATAATTAATATTAGAAAATGTGATTGTAGTTGGAAGAAATTCTTGTTGATTTGTTATCATATTGACTGAATTATGCTGATGATTAACAAAATTTTGGGTTTTTAATAAGGGAAAAACAGTATCTTCTTTTTCACGATTGACTTCTATCAGCGTATTCATTTTCACTTCACTCATGTTTGTAATCTAACCTCAAATGGAGTTATTGCATGATAAGAAAGAGAA